AGAATAAGTCTGGTTTTTAACAGTAACCGATTAACTGGACTGATTCTAAAAAAGTATAGGTACTGAGTTTTCTAACAATAAAGTATTTTAAAAAATAAGAGGCATAAAAGGGGGAAGTACTTTAATTTTTATTTGTATTTATTTGAAATTGGGTTTCATCTGCTTAATGTTTATAAATTAATAAGTTAATTTCTTTATAAAATTTCGTATTTAAACATCTCAATTTTATGAAATAGTTGTGGTCTTTTTTAATTACATAGGGTTTATTGCTTATGCTATAAGGTTTGTATTTGTGTGATTTATATGCCAAGGTACGCATCATCATTCTCTGTTTTTCTAACCCTGTTACAGTTAATTTCCATGATGGGATCAATAGGTGATGGATATTAAGGTGATATAGAAGTGGAATTTTTAAAATGGCTCTCTGTCCTCAAAAGACTATGTATGTTTTTAAGATAATGAACATTAAAATGAATTTTCTAGTATCAGCTTGAGATAGCTGGAAATTTTTGAGAGATCACAGAACCAGGGTTGGAAATACTAAATTGTTATTCACAGTTAAGAACTCAACTTTGAGTCTTTAAAGCTCTGTTCATTTGGGATAGACCTTCATTTCGGTATGCCATTAGTCATAAAGACTGAAGAATTGTTTATAAAATGAAATAGACTGTAAACCAAAGTTTTAAAGTTAGTGGAATGATTTGAATACCCATTTCTTGTGAAATTTGTGAGAGGAAAAAAATGACCGTGTTCTGGTGACCCTATGTCATCAAAATCATTCTGCTGAAAAATTCTTCTAAGTATATAAGTAAAATTATTAAAGGTTTAGTGTTTCTTACAGCTAGCTTGTTAATCTTAGACATAATTTATGAGTTAGTTGAACATTATTTGTATATGCTACCCTTATTTTGAATAATTTCAGTTTTAAAAATTATATTAATTTTGGTTTTGTATTTTCCCTTTTATGTTAATCTGGTTTTTGATTTTGCCAATTTCTTGGTTAGGAATGCAGGCCCCCAATTAAAACATTATCTTTATAATGAGGAAAAAAAACAAAGATTAACTTTATAATGTGGTTTCTCAGATTATTTCATTGAATAACTTTTGGGTCTGGGGAGATGGACCATTCACCATTTCAATTCAACCATTCACCATATTCCTCACTTTTTTATTTTACTTGCTGCTTACTCATTTTTAAAAAGGATTTTTTTAGAAATTAAAATACAGTGATGGATGTAAAATGAAAGTTTTTTTTTATGGAAATGGTATAAGGCACTTTATCCAAATGTTAATTTTTATCTGCTGGTATCTTTGATTAGATATTTGTTTTATTCTATGAGACTAGTAATATGTAATTTAACAGTATTGATACATTTTAGGTCTGTGTGTTATGTTTATATGAAGGTATAAAATTTTTTATGTGTTTTCACATGCTTCTTTCTTAAAAAGATGAAAATATGGTAGGATAGATTTGACCGCTACATTCTAGAAGGTATACTTACAAAACTAACATGTCATCATGTGAAATACTATTGCAATGAAGATCTTAAAAAACAAAATAATTTCTGAATGCTCATCTGATAGCTTTTAAATTCTAGTATACTAACAAAACTGTGATCTGTTCTTAGGGTTCTTGAAAATGGTATTAAGCACAAAGTTAAAAATTGTTAAGGTTTATTGGATGATTTCTGTGTGCCAGGCACTGAGTTATATGCTTTATGTGTGTTATCTAATTTGATTTTCACTATAACTTTATGAAATAAGTTACATATGTATAGTGAAGCAAGGCACAGAGATTAACTTTCCCAAGGTCATCCAGCTAGTAAATGGTTGAGTCAGAATTTGAATGTGGCATTCATTCTTCACCATGTTTTACTGTTTATTGTTAATAAATGTTTAAAGTACACAGTATACAGTATAGAGCTAAATTAGGCTGTATAGATTATTAGAGCCGAGACCCAGAATTTTAAGGTGATTTGATTGAAAGTTGTAGCAATGCTGAGGCTATGATTTGGTTCTTCTGGCTTCTGGCCTAATGCTCTTTCTTCATGTGCAGACTCTACAGTTGTGGTTTGTAGAATTGCTTAATCTTTTATCAGAAAGTAAATAGAACCATATCTAGTACATAACACACCTGTGCCATACTTTGTGTTTAGGTACCAGAGAAAATGCATTACCTTTATTTAACACAGTGATATTGTATCAGGTGATACCTCTGAATGGATAAAAGTAAATTTTTCTAACAATTAAATATTTAGAACTACATTTCCATTGATTTTTTAAAATAGCTATAGAAAAAATTATTTAAGATATTGTTTAATTTTAGATGTATAAAAGCTAAAAAAATAGTAAGATAGGAATTAAAAATATTTATGTGAGCAGTCTCCAACAATGAATGAATGATTTTCTAAAAAGTATTTGTATCAGTCAGTTAATTGGAATTTATTTTTTTCTTCATAGAAACAAGTGTATTAAACATGGTCATAAAACAAGTCAGTAGCTGAAATTGAGTGTTCTCTTTTTCTGGCTATTTTGGGGCTCAGTCTGAGCCGTAGCAGCTATTAGAGACATTTTGGAACTTTGAGATCCCCACAGCATACCTTTGCTGGATATTCTACTTCCATGGTAGCTGATTTAATCCTTCATAGAATTCCATTTCTTACCACCAAAATTCTGAAGTGGTGACCTGAGAGGTTTTTATGGTGGTAATTTTGACATGCTTCAATGGCTAAGATGCCAAAGGAATTCATGAAAGTGTTTATTAATCAGAACAAGATATGGCAATGATTCTTTAGTCCCGTGTTGTCCGGTGGAAGTGTTCTTTACTGTCCAGTAGAGTAGCTACCAGCCACATGTGGCTTTTAGCATTTGAAATATGGCTAGTAAAACTGAGGAACCGAATTTTAAATTTTACTTAATTTTAATTAGTTTAAACTTAAATTGTCACATGTGGCTAATGGCTACTATATTATACAATACAGCTTTAGGCTGAAATTATGCTTCTAATTACATCAGAGGATTTCCAATTTTATAGTGTGTTTGAGACTATATCAGTTGAGGTTTCTGAGGTTTCCTTGAGCTTTTGAAGTAGGTTATCTTAAAGTCATCTCTATCTTAGCAGGCAGTAGATGTCTGTTCGTATTGACAAGTCAGTCATTAATTGAATATTTGTAAATTGAATACTAATTTCAGAGTTTTGGCAAAAGATATTTATATGATCACCTAGCAAAAAATGCATATATGTCAACTATATAATATTCAATATAACCATTATTAGAACCCAGTATAACGACTGAAATAAAAAATATTATATTTGAGTCTCATAAGCTGTGTAATTGTGGCTCTTGAAAAATACTCTAGCTAACAACTAGGTCCTTAACATGAGCAAAAATTGTCATGTATTTATCTCCTTGACATATTCATAATATTGATAATAGTTTAGAGGTAAGCTACAACTTTTCAAATAATTGAGTTAATGAGATTTAAATAGACTTCAGAACTTGGTGAATTCATTTAAACACAAAATATATTAGAGTCTTGGCCCATGGGTGGCTTAGTCGTTTAAGTGTCCAACTTTTGATTTTGGTTCAGGTCATGATCTTAGGGTCATGGGATTGAGCCCCATGTGGGGCTCTGGGCTCAGCAGAGCCTACCTGAGGATTCTCTGTCTTTCTCCCTCTGCACCTCCCTCTGCTCCGTGTTCTCTCTCTCTCAAATAAATCAATAAATCTTAAAAAAAAAAAAAAAGATCCGTTAGAGACTCTTGTGATACTATTGAAAACATTTATAACAGTAACTTCTGAAATTAAAATGAGTTATTTTTCCCTGTGGATTAATGCAGTCCAAATAGAAAGCAGGAAAATTTGTTTTCTTTATAACTAAAAGTTATTTTAAAATTTGTAAATTTTATAAAATTTATGCTGTTGTGTGTTTGGGAATCCAGAATAATTCTTGTTTTAAATAAATGAATTAAAATTTCTTTTTGATAATTTTTATTCTAATAGCAATATCTTTTCAATCCCAAAGAAATATAGGTATATTAGATTATAAATTTCTGAAGGCAAGGACCATGAGTTACTCATTTCTGTTTTTTCCCTAGAACTTAGCACATTATCTTGCATTTAGAAGGCGATGAGTTCTTACTGTTTTTTTTTGGTTTATTTATTTATTTTTTAGTAATCTCTACACCCAGCCTGGGCCTTGAACTACCCTGAGAACAAGAGTCGTATGCTCTTTTGACAGCTAGCCCAGGCATGCCAATGAGTAGTTACTTTTGAATGAATTAATCGGTGATGAAATATGTCCAATTAATTTGCTCTCCCTTTCCAATTAATTTTCTTTCCCTTTTAAGGTCTTTGATAAAAAATCAGAAACATAAAAACTAAAATTTATTTAAAGTTATGTTTTCTTGTGGAAATAATTACATTTATGTCTGAAATGTGAATAGGTTATAGTTAAAGATTAGTATCCCTTAGTATTTGAAAATTCAGACTTGCTAAAACAATACATCATAAAGTGATTACTCATTTTTATAAAAGGACACTTTAAAAAATTATTTGTAGGTTAATAATTCAGACTTTTTCCAAGGAGTAAGTGCTTAATAGAATTACCATTTTATTTACTGAATTTGCATTCATTCAAGAATGAACCAATTAGGGGTGCCTGGGTGGCTCAGTGGGTTGGAGCCTCTGCCTTCGGCTCAGGTCATGATCCCAGGGTCCTGGGATCGAGCCCCGCGTCGGGCTCTCCGCTCAGAGGGGAGCCTGCTTCCTCCTCTCTCTCTCTCTGCCTGCCTCTCAACCTATCTCTATCTGTCAAATAAATAAATAAAAAAATCTTTAAAAAAAAAAAAAAGAATGAACCAATTATATATAAAGTGAGTTGCAAGTATATGTCAGACATACCAAACTTAAATGAGCTTTTTGTAGGAAAAAAGATTAAGTATGTGTACATTTAATTTAATGAGATCCACTCTAATACTAGGTATCTTTATTTTATAGGAAGGAAAACTGAGATATAAATTGCTCTCTTGTCTGGAGTCACATGGTGAGTTTCGAGATCAAAATTAGATCCAAGAATTTCTGAACCCCAAGTTTCATATTTCAATATTTGGCATTACTGAAAGTGACTCATAAAATTGACTGATATCATGTGTCAGTACTTAGGTGACAATTTACAGAAAGTCAACTCTGCAACTTGATGGGCGACAACCCTTTTCAGCCAAAAAGTAAGTGTTGCTGCCACAACCGATACTAGTATACGTGGCTTTTGTACTAAATAAATTTGCTTCAGTAGAAAAGAGGAGAGGTAGACACATTTTCTTAAAGACAAAAAAAACTTGAAAGTTGTTAGAGTATCAAATGCTCACATAACAGATAATGTAAATTAAGAAGTGAGTAAAGTAGAAATGAAATGTTTTTTCTTCTTATGCCCAGTGATAACTATTAGTTCAGTGTACATAATTACCTCTGTTTCTTTTATGCATAAACAAAAAATAATTATTTCTAAAAAACATAAAGTTCTTTTGTGTCTTTAAATTTTTTTTTCTCAACAATCTATCCTGAGTGTATTGACAATGGCAATGCCCTGTTAAGAATGAGGAAGACCTTTGTATTCTGTATTGTTTGTTAGGGCTTCTATAACCTAGAACCATAGACTGGATGGCTTAAAAAACAGAAATTTATTTCAGAATTTCTCACAGTTCTGGGGACTAGAAGTATGAGATCAAAGTATTGGTGGGGTTGATTCCTTTTGAGGACCATGAGGGAAGGATATGTACCAGGGCTCCTTCCTTGGCTTATAGATGCACATATGCTTCCTATGTCTTTAGATGGTTTTACCTCCAAGCGTGTATCCATGTTCTGTTCTCATCTTTTAAGGACACCAGTCATACTGAATTAGCACCCACCCCAATAACTTCATTTTAACCTCACCACCTCTTTAAAGACCCTGTCTCCAAATATAGTAATATTCTGAGGTACTGATGGTGAGGACTTTAACATAGGAATCTTGGAAAAACATAGTTCATCCCATAACACCAACTGATTAGAAACTTTTATTATCCATATACAGTAAGTTTCCCTAATTTTTAAAAATTACGCATTGTCTGACCACTTAGTTTCCTAGTCCATAAATTATATACCATGTGCCTATTGGCTATCTAGTGTGTAGAAGGAAATACACTCAAAGAGCTCAGTTTGGTCTTGGGACATATAATATTTTTAATCATTTGACTTGCAGAATTCTATATAATTAATAAAACAGTATAGTTTAGAAAAGAAAGGGATCAGTTCATGATGTTCATGACATTTGGGAAAATGGGGAGGCCTTTTTTGTTTTGGTGGGTAGGCTATTAACATTTAAATTATGTTAAGACAGGAAATCATTTGTGACATACTTTTATAGAAAGGAAAAAATTTAAAAATTTATAAAAGAATCGTTCTTAATTTGATATGGTATTTCCTTTGTATGCCATCCCCAAAGTGTTGTTTCAGTTACAGTATTTTTTCTTATCTTTTAAGAGGTGGTAGAACATTGTCCTAATTTTGAGTCAAAAGTAGAGGTGGCATTACTCTAATTAAAAATTACCCTTAGAAATGACTATGTTTAAATGATAAATGAAAGATATTGTCAAAGCCAGTACTCTAGAGTTTTTTTTGGGGGGGGGGTTGGTAGACCTCCCCCATCTCATTGTGTATATTAAGTTATATCCACTTATGTCCATCTCCACTGTGACTACTTTAGTTTAGGTCCTCAGTACTCTTTCTCTTCCCCCTCCCATCCACCTTTTCTTTTTTCTCCATCTCAGCTTAAAGCAGTATATGCATATAGTCAAGACCATCTGAAAAGGCTTTAAATGGCTTAACCAAAGTTTCTTGAGGAGTGCTTATGTGCATATATGCATATTTGTTGTGCTTTCTGTTGCATAATCAGTTTTAACCGCTTTCTAATAATCATGAGAATTTTTGCTTGCTTAGAGCTACCCCTTCCTTCCAAGTATCTCCCAATATAATTATTGTCTCAATATTTTGTTAATCCATAGTTGATGTTTCATTATGACTACAATAAATGCTGTTCACTGATGAGCATTGTAATATGCTTTTAATATTCTGTTAAACATAGAATACATACATTTACTGTTTGCTCCCACTAACCCACCCACCCTTCCTCTTTCTCTCCCCCTCCCTCCCTTCCTTTCCTCTTCCTTCCTCTCTCCCTTTTCTTTTCTTTCTCTTTCTTTCTTTCTTTCTCTCCTGTGCAGCTGTTAATGCTTCTCACTTTTTTTCATTTGCTAAGTTATATTAAAATATGTAGGCACGTCTTCCCACACCCTTCAGTAGCCTCTCAATTCAATTTTCTACACAGTAAAACTTGTCAGGTAACCTAAAAGTTTACATTTTAATCATCTTTTCTTTGGTGTCCCAGAGATATTTCCTTTTGAAGTATTGATCCAATCTAGTCTGGACTGGTTGTCCTCTGGGTGGGCTGAACAGCTGTTGTCCTGGGACTTTGTATTGTATTGAATATCATATTTTCTACATGCTGTGTCTTCTTTCTTGGTTAAGTCTTATCTTTTTTATGGATTCTGTAGTAACTTTCTGAGAAGGGTTTTACATGGGAAGTAAATCTTGTGTGATGTTGCTGTTCTTTATTCTCACACTTGATGAAAAGTTTGACTGCGTAAAGAACTCTAAATTGAAAAATAATTTTGGTAAGAAATTATTGAAGTATTATTTACTGTCTTCTACTAAAGTATTATTCTATGGTTCTTATTCTTACTGACCGTTCTTATATGAACAGTTCTTCCCACCTCACCTCAACCCCTGTGCCCCACCACACCCCATAGATCTTATCTTTTTATCTCTTTCGTTCTGGAATTTCATGACAATGTGTCTTGATGTAACTTTTTTCTTGATCATTGTGTTGTGTACCTAGTGGGGCCTTACAACCTAGATACGTATGTTTTCCAATCTAGGAAATATGTCTGTATTACTTCTCAGATAACCTACTCTCTGCTTTCTCTCTTTTCTCTTTCTGTAAATTTTATTAGGTGAATGTTGTACTTGGAAATTGATTTTCTCTGACAACCTTGTGTCCTCTTCTTTATCTAGTTTGTGTGAGTGTGTGTGTGTATTTTTCTCTTTTTCTCTTAGTTCCACCTGTGGGGATATTTCGAGTTTTTAAAATCAATTGAATTAAAAATTTTTGGCTATCATATTTTTAAAACTTTTTGTTTTCTGAATATTTTTATAACATTCTTATCTAATATCTCTAAAGATGCTAACTATATTTTCCTTGATATTTTTCTTGCTCTCTGCATTATCTCTTTTCCTTAGGATTCTTTATGTTTTTTATTGATTTGGTCTAAAAGACAGGAGGTTTTCCTCAAGTTTCTGGTACTTATTGATTGACCACTAATATTTAATATTTAAATATTAACATTTAAGAGTAACATTTAATATTTAAAATTCATCCTAGAAGCTCTGTGCTTGGTCAGAACTTCTAAGGTGGTGTAAGTTCATATTTACTGCACATTCTTTGATCTGTTTCTTTAGATAAGAAATGTCTAATTTGCCCTGAATGGAATAAGTCTCACTTTGTTTCCCTTATTTTACTTTAGCACCTCATCCCTGTTTTGTGACTGGAATTCCTGAATTTGGTTCAGTTTTTCTAGTATATCTCCTATGAGTTGCCTCTTATTCTTAGTTTATCTCCCCTTTGTTAATACGTTTACTCCCCAGATAATGGTTAGGTGCAGTCTCTTTTGTAGATAAAATTATACTCCAGGCATAAGACTGGAACTGGTTTTGACTGTTTCATGTAAATAACTACTGTCAACTATTATCTATTTATCTAAATTTGTTAGTTTTTATCTTAGAGAGTGAGCTCTGAGTTTCTCACTGTTGCTTCCATGAACTAACTATCAAGTCACGAGTTGCCACTAGGGCTATTAGAGTGGATCTTAAATATACTGTGAATTTTAAAAATATATATTTACTTTTCTTTTTGAAAATAAGGTTTGCTTCTCTCCTTTTGAAAATTAGGTAATTCAAAAATGGCAGAACTCTTTATGGAATGTGAAGAAGAGGAGTTAGAACCATGGCAGAAGAAAGTAAAAGAGGTTGAAGATGATGATGATGATGAGCCAATCTTTGTTGGAGAGATATCAAGTTCAAAACCAGCAATTTCAAGTAAGCATTTACTTTTAGTGGAACTGATTTTTATAACATACTGTTTCTAATGGAAGACCTTGTGAACTGCTTTATAAGGTACTTATGTACTTGTTCCTCTGTAAGGAGTTAGAGATGAAAGATTTGGTGAGAGGTGAGTGAGAATTACAGAATCAGGATGAGGATGTGATTAAGGACTTGAGGAGGGAGGTAAAAGGTTAAAATACCAGATATAAGGAAAAGAAATAGACTAAGATTAGTTGATACATTGGAGGTCTTTTGAAATTGGAAATCATAGTTTTTAATGGAGCCAAGTAACCTGTTCATCTGTTTGTTTATCTCCCCTCCCCACCCAACCTTAAACACAGAATTAGAGAACTGGAAGAGGTTAGAATACTTTTCTTCAAATGTCCTAATATGCTAAATAAATTTTAGTCTCAAACAGGGGTTGTCACATCCAGGCAACTACAGTGTCATCCATACATTACTACAAAATATATAGGCAGAGAATAATTTCAGTCTCTAGCCTGTGTGCCAACAGGGGGTTCAGCTTCTGACCACATTCATCTTCCAGCAACTCACATTTATAGTCATGAAAGAGAAGAGCACTGTCTACAGCCACTGTACTTGGGTGATGTAGCAGTTAGTTAATACTTAAGGCAGTGCTCAAAAGTGTGATTAAGACAGTACTTTTCTGAAAGCTTCTGAAAGCTTGGTTCTTTCTTCTGTTGCCTCTAAACTTGGAATGGCACTTTTATTCAGTTTTATCAGAGGGAGAATCACTTAACCAGTTAAATTCTCAATACCATTTCCTGTGGCAGATTGATAATCTTTTAGGTTCTAAGTGGAGTGCCACTTTGATTGTAAATTGAGCTAGGCATGATGGCATGCTTGTTGAGGATAGTGGAACATGATTATACATTCTCTTAATTACTATTTTTAGTCATTGTGATCATTTTTTACTGGAATATTACCATATTATAAAAGTTATTAGAATTTTTGAAAAAATAACAGTTAAGATCAAGTTAAATTATACTAGTAGAAAATTGTTAACAGTATTCAACTAGAACAGTGTTTATTAATGTTAAAATAATTCTGTCAGAAAGGAGACTGACCCCAGTAAAAATTATTTTCTCAACAGTTATGCAGAATTTAAATGAATTTTATTATTGTTTTTGTGTAAGCCATAAAATTTTTAATATATGGAATATGAGTTAAGTGTTTATATAGAACTGCTAGAAAGGGGAGTAAAAACTTTTGTTGTAGAATACAGCCACGAAAAAGTACATTAGCCAATAGTTCTTTGATGGTTTGAGTAATAATCTTGAGTTTCTGAGTGAGAATGGTGTCAAGTTGTGTGAGAAGGTTTTTATTCTATAAGACATAAGTAATGCTTAGGTATAGAGCACTGCATTGCCATTATCAGAAAACAGCCCTACTTTTGTGTGTTCCTGTACTTCATAGAGTTATTTTATGGGATCTGGTTCTTTTTTACTGTGAGGGAAAAAGGAAATTTTTATGACGTTTAAGACTTGTTTGTGCTTTTATGTTTTTGTAACCAGCAATTTTTGGCAAATCCATACTCTTCCCAATTTTAGTTTGACTAGCAAATAGTCTAGAAGTTGCAGAAATTGCATGCCAGAATCAGGAACTTTAAAGTGATCCTGAGAGTTCTGTATTACGCTCAGATTGAATTCTGGTATATTCTGGTATATTGGTAGATTTGAAACCCCTTAAGTTATAGGTTATTCTGATAAACTGTAATTTTAGCCTGCAATCTGTGCTAGTTTTTCCCTTTCAGGACTCAAGATTAATGCTGCAGATAATCTGGTGAGATCCCTCATAATGATACTTCCAGGGAAGGTGTGAATGGAATATGGAGGTTGGTTAGGGGTTTGGTTTTGAGTGATAGAAACCTGAGTGGATATAGCCCTGTTGCCATTCAAAGAAAGATATATATGTTAATTATAGGTTCTATATACATATATTTTTGGAAGATTTTTACTAATTATGTGGAATATTTCTTTGCCATAAAAGAAACTTTGCAGAAAGTTTGACTTGTATGTAGTCAGATTTATCAGTCTTTTACTTCTGGCTTTTGGATTTTGAGTTACAGTTAGAAAGGTGGTTCTTATTCTATAAAACAAGGCTAGCGTGGTGCCTGGGTGGCTCACTGGGTTAAAGCCTCTGCCTTTGGCTTAGGTCATGATCCTGGGGTCCTGGGATGGAGCCTCACATAGGGCTCTCTGCTCAGTGGGAAGCCTGTTTCCTCCCCCACTCCGCCTGCTTCTCTGCCTACTTGTGATCTCTGTCTGTCAAATAAATAATAAAATTTAAAAAAGCTTTATAAAACAAGGCTAGTAACTCCTTCCAGGAATCTATTTGATTGTTTTCAATTCATGATTTTATTTTCTTAGTATATATTTTATTCAAATAATGAATTTTAAAATAAATATAATTTTTTGTAGATATTTTGAATAGAGTAAACCCCAGCTCATATTCAAGGGGAGTAAAGAACGGTGCACTCAGTCGAGGTACAGTATTACTTTACTTTTTTACTTTTAAAGTGAAGTATTTTAACATCATTAGTTTTATGAAAATATATTTAATGTATTGTGTAATTTTAAATACAGGTATTACTGCTGCATTCAAGCCTACAAGTCAACACTACACCAACCCAACATCAAATCCAGTGGCTGCCTCGCCAATAAATTTTCATCCTGAATCTAGATCTTCTGATAGTTCTGTTATTGTTCAGCCTTTGTCTAAACCTGTAAGTGTTTCTGAAACTACACAGCTCAGGGATACATTGGATATTACTTATCAGTATAAACAATACCAATTAAAATTCTGGATTGTCATGGGTAGCCATCTAATAGAAGCACAATTAAAATCAGAAAATGTCACTATCTTCATGATATCTTAGCCAGTACCCAGAGTAATAACTGCAGGAACTACTCATCCATCCAGTTCCCAAATCAGGTGACATGCTTAAGTTTAATAGGTAAAGTATTGAAAATTGTGTTATCAAAATATGATAAAAGCATAATGAATATTGCATAATGGAAAATTATTTAAGATTGTAAATTGGGTCAGTTGTTCTTTGTTCTTAATTGGGAAAAACTTTTGAGAGGACATTATAGATTTTTATTCTGAAAATATATCTTCATAATTAGTTTAAAAAACTCTTAATAAATAATAATAGTTAATGGTAATAGTTAATATTATGGTTGATATTTATGTGTAATGCTTTGTTCTAAATGCTACACATAAATTAATCACTTAATTCTTAACCATCCCTGTAAAGGATGCACTATTATTATTTTTATTCCTGTTTTATAGTTGAGGAAATTGAGGTTCACAGAGGTTAAATTATTTATTCAAGGTCACACAGCTGGCAAAATGTTAGATATGGGATTTCAATCCAGACTAACTGTATTTACATAAGTATATACATATGTATTATATATAAATATAGACTTAAAATGGAGCCATTGCCTTAGTGCAGTAGTTTTCAGTGTGTAGTTTTCAGTCCCCTGAGACTCTTTCATGGGTTTGGGAGTCAGTACTATTGTCATAATAATAAAAGACACTATTTGCCTTTTCCACCATGTTGACATTTGCGTTGGTGATGCAAAAGTAATATTGAGTAAACTGCTGGTGCCTTAGTATAAATCAAGACGGTGGTACCAAGTATGAGTAGTTTTTGTATTCATTCCCACCATGCACTCCCATTAAAATACATTCATGCTTGATTTCCTTGATGAAGTATTAACTTGTTATTTTTAAAAATCTCTACCTTGAATATGTGTCTTTTCAAAATACTTTGTGTGATGAAATGGATAGTATGCAAAAGCACTTCTGTGTCTGAAGTTCAATGGTTATCTTGAGGAAAAGCACTCCTCTGATTGAAATGTGAGCTAAACTACCCACTTTTTAAAAATAGAAGACTGCTTTTGCTTGAAAGAATGACTGATAAACCATGGTGTATTATATATTTGTATCAATATTACTATAAACAATGATTTAAAACCACATACATTTATTATCTCATAGTTTCTATGGGTCAGAAGTCAAGTCATGGGTTAGCTGGATCCTTTGCTTCAGGGTCTCACAAGGCTACATTCAAGGTGTGGACTCTGAGGTTGCAGTTTTATCTGAAGCTTGACTGGAGAGGTGTCTGCTTCCAAGTTCTCATGGTAATTGGCAACATTCAATTTCTTAATGGTTGTCACACTGAGAGTCTCTGGCTTTGCCAACTGGGTCTTTCCCACATGGCTTCTTACTTGCTCAAAGCCCACAAGAGAAAATCCTTAGGAGAATGGCATTATGATCTTATATAATATGGTTATATACACAAAATCATGTATATCCTGTCACCTTTGTTGTATTCTGTTGGTTAGAAATAAGTCACGTGCCTTGCCTACACAAAGGGGTGGGAATTGTGCAGGACATTAACGCCAGGGGATGGTGATAATGGAGGCTACTTTAGAGTCTCGTTGCTACACATAGTGAGTGATTCAGTCTTGGTTATTTGGCAGACATTTCCTCCAAACTGAACAAAGTGCACATTTAAAGGAAAACAACTGATAGCATTTCTTGGGTAAAATTGCGCTTTCAAGCACAAATTAGAATTTTGGAAAACTTGTATTTGCCACTGTGATCTTGGTAGCTTCCTAGTACTTAAAGACTTTCCTCTCGGTCGTGCAATTAATAAACACAATTTTTTGTTATTGTATAATGAATTCCGTGTACATTTGGAGGATCAGCATAATCCAAAAAAACCCCAGTATTTAAAAAAAAAACAGTGCATGATGTTGCAGAATCATACAGATAGAAGATCCATTCAAAGTGTTAGACTGACTGATAGATTTTAATGTAACAAAGTATGAAAAGTTTAGTAAATAGCAAGTCAGATGCCACATTACAGTAAACTCTTAAGAAAATATCAACTGTTGAATTTTGGTGTAGTTATCAAAGAAGTGTATCCATAGTTATCCTAAATTGCTATTAAAATACTACTCCCTGCCTCTGCCCTCGGCTTAGGTCATGATCCCAGGGTCCTGGGATTGAGCCCCGCATTGGGCTCTCTGCTCAGCAGGGAGCCTGCTTCCTCCTCTCTTTCTGCTGCTTCTCTGCCTACTTGTGATTTCTGTCAAATAAATAAATAAAATCTTAAAAAAAATACTACTTCCTTTTTCAACTACATATCTTTTTTTTTAAACTATATATCTTTTTTTTTTTTTTTAGATTTTATTTATTTATTTGACAGAGAGAGATCACAAGTAGGCAGAGAGAGGCAGAGAGAGGAAGGGAAGCAGGCTCCTTGCCTAGCAGAGAGCCCGATGTGGGGCTCCATCCCAGGACTCTGGGATCATGACCTGAGCTGAAGGCAGAGGCTTTAACCCACTGAGCCACCCAGATGCCCCTCAACTATATATCTTTATGAAGCAAGATTTTCTCTCTATTTTTCAAATAAAACAACATATTCTAACAAATTGAAGGCAGAAGCAGAAGGCAGAAACTACGACAGTTTAGCTAGACATTAAAGCAATTTACAGAAATGTAAAACAGTAGCACTCTTTTCACTAATATTTTGTGTGTTTGCAATATAGTCAGTTTTCATAAAAAATGTTATTTATGTTAATCTGTAATGGGTTTATTATTACTTAAATATTTTAAGGAATTTCTCTGTTTTAATTTCTAATATGGTAAATATCAATAGGTATAACCCAAATAAATAAAAATTCTTTTGGGGCCTCCATAATTTTTAAATGTGTAAAGTGGTCCTGAAGTCAAGGAATTATATTACTCAAAAAAAAAAAGTTACCCCAAATGTAAAGATTCTTTGTTGTTAGTTGGAATTGAACTAACTCAGTAGTTTTGCCATACTTATTGTAAGCTATTTGGCACTGGCTTTAGAGAAATAATAAATTTGAATGAAAATGTTTGTGCTTTGACAGTAATTCGCTTATTGTCTATGAAAGCACCTATTAATTTTCTTGCAAATATTCAAGTTCAAAACCAAAATTGAATCCAAATATGTTTGGTAGTAATAATCCATTTTTCCTCTATTTCATATTACTGTTAGGTAATCTGCAGATCTGTTAGTACTAAAATTTGATATTTTGAGGTGTTTTCATAGAAGAGTTATTTTAATTATAATTTATGTAATAATGGAAAAGAGGGCTACAGATTTTTAAATATATGGCTAAGTATATTCACCTCCCACTTATATTTTGAAGATGTTATGTATCATAAAAGTATATGTTTAGGCAAATGTTTCTCTTTCCCTGAGTTATTATTACTTAATACCGATAATAACTATCTGAAATAATAACTAACAGTGATATAAGCCCTGGGACAGTAGTTTAAAAAACTTAGATTTGAAGCAAGAGGCGTGAATGCTGACTCAGCCATGTTAATAAGCATTGTTGAAACCTCTGAGCCTCATTTTCTTCATTTCTAAAGTGAGAGATTTTAACCAGACCACTGACTCTCAATCTTGGATCCTAAGGTTCTTCAGGTTATTACTAATATTTGAAAAGATGAAAAGCTGCTTAAAATTGAAGATTTTTTGCTATTAGTTAGAATCAAACTAACTCAGTTACTTTTCATAAATTGTAGCTTTTGCAGGGTAGAAAACTGGAAAAAGAAACTTTACTATTTAATTCAGTTTAATAAATAAAAATCTTTCCAACGTTGGACCCAGTGAGGAAAAAAAAAAAAAAGGGAAGGTTTGTATCTTTGGTGTTATAAAAGTTAGAAACTAGAGCTATTTCTGAGATGTTTATTTCTCTGGGCATAGTTTTATTTATGTTTTTAATTTTTATTTTTTTATTATTATGTTCAGTTAGCCAGCATATAGTACATCATTAGTTTTTGATAAAGTGCTCAGTGATTCATTAGTTGCATATAGTTTTAAAATCAAAACACCTCAGTTGGTGTTTCTCAGTCTTGGTAAGTTTTTAAAAGGAGAGGCTGTGCTAGTTGGTCTGGGTGGGTCCTGGAAATGGTATCTTGTAAAACAAACAAACAAACAAAAAACTCTTCAAGGCATTCTAATGTGCAAAGTTAAGAATGACAGATATATTCTGGGGATGAATTGAGACTCCTATTTAAGGGAATTTACTCTGAATTTTGGAAGCCACTGCTTTTAATAAATTATAATTACAGTTTTTCATTTTATGTCGTGTGTGTGTGTGTGTGTGTGTGTGTGTGTTTACTTTTTCATGGAATATCTCTATACTCTAGCATCTCTTTCAGAGCTCTTGCCGATAATAGTGATATATTATTATCACTTAAAATTAATTCAGTGTGATCTAGCTTAAGGGTATAAGCTTCAGAATCTGTCAGGTTCTGGGTTCTCATTACAGCTCCATCAATAACAAGCAGGACTGTATTGGGAGCCCTATATAACCACAACTATCTTTAGTTTACCTATTTATATAATAGGGTATAATACTAGGTTTTTATTAGTAATGTTGTGACAACTATTTGATTTAATACATGTATGAAACATGAAGTACAATTACATTTAAAACACAATTGTGACTATTACTTCAATTTGAAAGGTGAGTAACTTGAAGCTCAGAAGTGACCTTCCCAAGGTATATATAGTTAAATGTGCCAATCTTCTGAATCAAAGTCTAGTGTCTATTCTACCCTTACTATTGTATTTGATATCTTTCTGAACTTTTTGTATTCTCCCTGTTGGAGAATTATTTTAACCAGTAATTGTTGAACAGTGTGTGCCTGTTCTCTGAAATTCTGGAGCTTAATTAACTAGAGTTGTTTTCCTAATAAAGTTTTTAAGAGTATTAACTGTATTTCTGTTAAAGAACTATTTTGGAAAATACAAGTGAACATTTTCCATTTTTTTAGTGCAAATATTTGGAGAAGATATTTATTATGAAACAAGATTGAGCTTGGTTATAGTCAGGTCATATGGCATTATGCATTTTTTATATTACATGTTAATTTTCAAATACAGATTTTGCCTTGTTAGGCCTCAAATTCTAGAAGTGGTTTGGATTACCTGTTTCTATGACTTCTTTTTTGTTTAAAAAACAACTGTTTATTTACTTATTTGGTATTTTATTTATTCTGCAGTTTGTGCAGAGTGTGGTGAGGAAAGGTCATTTCTTTTTAAAATGTTAAAAATTTATTGAGGTATAATTGACATTCAACATTATGTTAATTTCAAATGTACAACATAACAATCATTCGGTATTTATTTATATTGCAAAATGTTCACCACAATCTAGTTAACATCTATCACCATATGTAGTTACAGAATTTTTTTTCTTGTGATGAGAAATTTTAAGATCTACACTCTTAGCAGCTTTTAAATATGCAATACAGTGTTGTTATCTATAATCACTATGAGGTACATTACATCTCAATGACTAATTTATTCCGTAACCAAAAGTTTATACCTTTTGACTCCATTCATTTTGTTTCCATAACTTAACCAGTGTCGGTAGAAAAGTTAGCAAACCAAAATTCTGAAAACTTAATTATCCCTTAGTTAATAAGCACAAACGAAATAAAACCTTTATGTTCTATCTTTAGTATTTGTTTTGGAGAGAAGTTTAGAAAGAAACAAAGGATACATACTATATTTTGATTTTTTTTCCCCCCTGCAGACATGGTATAGATTATATAAATCAGGACCATACTACGTATACAAATATGTATTCCTCTTTTTTCTCTGAACATTCTACTGGGATTATGTCATTGGATATTTTTCAAAAACATAGTGTTTGCATTATAGTCTATCATAATTTAACCATTCTTTTGTTGGGCATACAGATTTTAATTTTTTGTTATTAAAAGTATTTCTCATTAAATGTCTTCATTTCCTTATCATAAATTTTTAAAGTGGAATAATTGGACCAAACGATGTGAACTTACATAAAACCTTTGATAGCTGCTGCCAACATATTTATGCAAAAATGTACCAAAATATAACCTCTACTTTGCCAGTAGTGAATGTTATCATTACTTTAAAATTTTTAAATTTTTATTTCAAGCTAATTTTAGACTTACAAGAAAAACAATACAGAGAGTTCTCATATATGCCTAACCTAGTTTCCCCTAATGCTAACATTTTATGTATCATAATCAGGTAATTAACATTAAGTAAACTTCAAACTTTAATTGAATTTTACCAGAGTTTCAATTAATGTCATTTTTCATTCCCAGGATCCTATTCAGGATCACACCTTACAGTTAGTTTTTTCTTCTTAGTCTCATATTTTTCTGTAGCTATTCATTTTTTTTTCTTTCATTACTTGAATACTTTAAAGAGGAGTAGGCAGTTATTTTGTATTACATGTTATTATCTTTAAAACAATGTGAATTCAGGGGTGCCTGGATGGCTCAGTGGGTTCAGCTTCTGCCTTTGGCTCAGGTCATGATCTCAGAGCTCTGCATCAGGCTCTCTGCTCAGCAGGGAGCCTGCTTCTCCCTCTCACTCTCTGCTTGCCTCTCTCCCTACTTGTGATCTCTCTCTGTGTCAAAAAAAAACCCCAAAAAACAAAAACAAAAAAACCCGAATTCAGTAGTTAATTGCCATTGTCTTCATTGCATTTCTTTGACTAGTAAGTTGGAAAGAGTTTTATGTATGGGTCATTTGTATTTTGCTTTTGAAGTGTCTCAGTTTATAGCCTTTGCCCATTTTTCTCTTAAGGTGACTTTTTCCCTTTTGATTTTTAAGCATTGTTAATCCTAAAACTTTTGCTTGTTGTAGATTATGACATATAGAATGGTCCAGAATTCACTCTGAGAGCTTACTCTACAATAATGGTCTTTTTAAAAATAGAATTGGAATATATTTTTTGAGTGTGTCTAACAGTATGTTTAATATATAATAGTATTCGTGTATACATCCCTAAATTGATCACACTTTTCATAATTATACTAAATACACAAATTTATACTACCTAATTCTTGAGCACATTATCATTCATCTCATACTTTTCACTCTTCTTGAGGTGGTCCTTACTAGCTGGGACCATCTTTTCTCCTGACGGAAAGGCTAAAACTTCCCTTGAGCCCTAAGGCTTCCAGGAGCAGAGCAGCTGTCTCAGATTATTCCTATAAATAGCTTCCATTCTAACCGGTTTGCCTGGCTTTCTTATTTGGGTTTACGCTGTTGACCACGAAGTGTTCATATTTGCCTTATGAGATGGGAGATTACCTCAATCTCACACGGCTTCCTGTGGAATAACAGGAGGAGTGGGGTGGTGGTGGGGAATCCATTCTTTCTTTTTCTGATACTTGCCTTATAAATTTTTCCAATAAAAATGATGCTAAAGCTCAAACCATGTGCTATATTCATCCCTAATCCTGATGCACAGCATTGTAGACTGATTCCTAATTTGTTTGCCCTGATATTTTGTCTGGGGGGCTTAGAGAGATACGGAAGCTTTTAAATTTGTACTTAGGTCAGTGTATTTTCCTCATTTTTTACTTTTACCCATAGATTTTGCAAAGTTTTACCATTTGCTCTTTGATGGGAATACTGCATTTTTAGTAGTCCTCTAGAGTGTATCAATCCTGCTGATTTAAAATGGGTATATATGTTTTCTTTCTCTTGGGGTAAAAAACCCAGACTAGAATTTGCCCTATTTTAATTGGCTAGTTAGAAACACAACAACTGTAAGAGCTTGCTTTCAATTTTAGTAGATGATGATTTTGACAGATAGTAATAATTACCTCTGCATATTATAACTTATTAATTGCTAACTGAGTCATCAAAGGCTATTCTTATAATATTGACATGCACTTCAATTTACCTTCATAAAAGTTTATGAAACAAAATAATTGTAACTATGTTGAGTAAAGGTAATATTCTTCCTTTGAAATATTTTAACAGGGTTATGTAACGAACTCAGCACGAGTTGTATCTAATAATTCTTCAGAGTTACTGTTTGACTTGACCCAGGATACAGGATCATCACATTACCAAGGGGGACCAACACTTTCTATACCAGGTTGGTTTTAGCACTTTAAAAAAAAATTATAAGAAGAAACTTGATGAATATATATTTATGGAATTGACTTTCTATTTTCAAGTTCTTGCCTTCATGTTAAGTTTTTCATATATTGTAAAGTGGCATGGTGCTAATAGTTCTTGATTGACTTTCTTGGTGACTTTTTTTTTTTTTTACCTCCTTGGATGATTTTAAATAAAACCTTATTTACTAATAAGATGGACAGTAAGGAGAGCATGTGATATGATAAGCACTGGGTGTTACAGAAGACTGATGAATCGCTATACTCTACCTCTGAAACTAGTAATACTCTGTATGTTAATTGAATTTAAATCAAAATATATTTAAAAAAACAAGATGTTTTTTATTTTTTCCTGTTAAGTAGGCTAACTAGCTTTGAATTTGTTCTCACTTGTCATTGAAAGTGGACTGAAAAATCTTAAAATAATTTCTGTAAGTTTTAGAAACATAGAAATGTAGAAATACAGAAATTAAAACAGGTCTTAATTTTTATGACTACTAGTGTGAAAAAGTATATGGTTACAAGTGATTTCCTAATTAGATTAGTGTCTTTCTTTCAGTAAACGCATCAGATGGTATAGTTATATATGATAATAGAGTGCTGTTATAAAAGTGGCACAATAAATTTGTATATGGCCATTACTCAGTAAATGCCCATTGGAGGAATATGAAATTCCCTTGTTAAGGTAGAATTAGAAGTTCTTTGTATACTGAAACATAGTCCTTCATTAACTTAAAATAAATTAGTGTGCTATGAAGGAATTTCATCTAATTGAAAATACCCTGTAATCAAGGCAGTTAGGCTTTTATATTAGTAGTTTTGGTATATTTCAAATATTTGACAAGAAAGAGATAAACAAAATTTGGGGGGATTTAGATTATTTACTAACAAATCAGTGTGGAGAAGCTACCAAACCCCCATTTTTCTTTGTTGTAATATTAGTGCCTAAAATGTTTTTCCATATAGTAATATTTAGTTGATATTTACTACTTTGGGTGTCACTTGTATACTTACAAAATCTAGTTAGTAAAATAGATAAGAACCAAAGTTTGGTTTTACAAAACACAAGGGCTTTATTAATAGAAAAAGTCTGTATTCTTGGGAGTTAGGACAATGACTCCTGCTCTACCTCTAAGTTTTCTGCTGTGGAGAGAGACGTTAACCTGAGCAGTAAGTAGGATGATGAAGAAGATGTAGATTTGAAGTTCTATTCTTAAGATTTTTGTAGTTTCCATTAAGTCTTTACACTTCAGTATTCTCATATTGTTAAAATGCAGATTTTATTTTTCTTGTTAAATGCATTCATTCTCCAGGCCTGGAGTCAGCCATTGGGAGATAAAATTTTAATTCTCATTCTACTTTAGTCAGGGCTTTTTTGAGGCACAAATAAGATAAATTAAATGTGAAAATGAATTATGAACTTTAAAGGACTTGACAATAGTTGGTATGAATGATAATATGCGCTGTATGTTCAGTAGCATGATTAACTGAGCACTGTCCAGTGATCATGGATATTTGGAGAAGACGATTTGAACTTGTTTTTGAAAGGATTTTACTGACAGAAAGAGAGTGTTCAGTGTAGAAAGCAAAACAAACCAAAGACAACAGGGATAAATAAAGAATTTAAAACTCTTAAATGGGGTCACCTGAGTGGCTCAGTTGGTTAAGAGGCTACCGTCGTTCAGTTCATGACCCTGGGGTCCTGGGATTCAGCCCAATTAGGGCTCCCTGTGCTCGGGCCTTCTTATGTTAAAAAGTTCTTATGGTATAAAGCTGTGTGTTTCTACTGTCCAGCCTGTTGCATTATATAAGCAGATGCTTGATCAAAATACCAGCATTCATTGGCTATTCAAGTAACCTAAGTATCTCACAAGAATCCTACCGCAAATACAAAAATCTTTTCCAACTATCTATATTATAGCCATCAATGATCACATGCCTTGAAGATGGAAAAAATATTTTTTTTATGTTATTTCACAGGATGAAACAGAGGAACCAGCTAGTATAATACTCTTTCTTTTTCTGGCACATTTCCCCTATTTAAAAGCTGACAGGTGAATCTATTAGAATTTTTTTTCCTCTACAGCAAGTTAAGATATAAAGTATTTTGTTAGTAATGATAATAGTTGTCATTTATTGTTGAATGCTTTCTCTGTGCCAGATGTTGTGTGGGTGCTTTTTAAAAGTAAGTTAAGATACAAAATATTTTTTTAGTAAGGATAGTAGTTGTCATTTATTACTGAATGCTTTCTGTGTGTCACATAGTGTATTGAGTGCTTCAAATACATAATCTTGTTTGATCTTAAAACAGTTCTGTAAAATAAGGCATTATAACTTATTTTATGAAAGAGGCTCAGAGAAGTTAATTAAATAAGCCAAGAATACATGGCCAGTCAGTGACAGAGCTTGAATTTCAACTTCTACTGTCTGGTGTAAAAGCCTGAATTATTTCTAATATGTTTACTACTTCTACTTTTGTTGTACATTTCAGAACATTAAAATATGGTGTGCAGTTTTAGAATCCTTATTACCAAGTAGTTGTGTGGTGTTTTCAAAAGGATCTTTTGCCTGGCCTTGTTGTAGCCTAAATATCCCTATTTCTCTTGCTAATGCTTTGAATAGGGCTAAAATGCTTTAGCTTTAAGGTGATGGTTTTCAAATTAAAAACTGTTTTTACAAATAAAATTCCTGTGTGAAGAAAATTTTATTCAAAGTTCTAATAAAATATGAAAGAGTTCCTCTATCAGACACAACCAAAATATTCCCTAAAATGAGCCCATTAGGCTCCAGGAATGTAATTTGAAAACCATTGTACTTAGTCCTTCCATTACAAGCCCTTTCATATGAGTGAATGAGGTATTATCATTCAAGTTTAGTTTTTCCACTTTTGTAGTTTTTCCACTTTTCCACTTTGAATAAATGGATAATATAAACTAAAGCCATGAGTAGAGCCCCCTCCCTTTTAGGTAGAAAAAGAGTTACCCTTTCATTAGACATTTTAAATAAATAAAATAGGTCTTTCTAGATTTTTAGAATAAAATAAAATTTTTCATTTGTAAACTAACTCCAGTGCACTTAAAACATCGAAAGGTGATTCATTTGTAGAAACTTAGTTTGGAGTAGTCTCTGCTTTAATTTTTTCTTTTTTGCTTGGGGTATTTTGGTCTGGCTTCTTTCATAATTGCTGTTTATATATTCCTTTATTTGAAGCCATATTTAGTATTTTCTTTCATAAAGAGATTATTTCTTGAATTATTTGAATATAGATAGTCCCTAATATAATTTTTTTATACCCCTGACTTTTAAAAAATTACTTATTTCTTGGGACACCTGGGTGGCTTGGTCGATAAGCATCTGCCTTTGGCTCAGGTCGTGATCCCAGGGTGCTGGCAACGAGCCCCGCATCAAGCCCCTCATCAGGCTCCCTGCTGGGTGGGAAGCCTGCTTCTCCCTCTCCCCCTGCTAGTGTTCCCTCTTTTGCTGTGTCTCTCTCTGTCAAATAAATAAATAACATCTTTAAAAAAATTATTTCTTAACAATTAATGCTTATTTATTTTCCTCAAGTTTTTATTTAAATTCCAGTTAATGTGCAGTGTAATATTAGTTTCAGGTGTAGTGTTCAGTGATTCAACACTTACATACAACACCTGGTGCTCATCAAAACAAGTGTCCTCCTGAATCCCCATCACCTAACCCATCCCTTCATCTACCTTCCCTGTGGTAATCATCAGTTTGTTCTCTTAAGAGTCTGTTTCTTGGTTTGCCTCACTTTTTCTTTTTCTCTCCTATGTTCGTTTGTTTTGTTTCTCAAATTCCACATAAGAGGGAAATCATGTGCTATTTGTCTTTCTCTGACAGGTTCATTTCACTTAGCATAATACTCTCTAGCTCCATCCTTGTCATTGCAAATGGCAAGATTTCATTCTTTTTTATGTCTAGTAGGATTCTATTTTATATATATATATATATATATATATATATATATATTCATCTTTCTATATCCATTCATCTGTTGATGGACATTTGGGCTCTTTCCATAATTTGGCTATTGTTGATAATGCTGCTATAAACATTGGGGTGCATGTATCCCTTCGAATTAGTGTTTTTATATCCTTTTGGTAAATACCAGTAGTACAATTGCTGGATGATAGGGTAGTTCTATTTTTAACTTTTTGAGGAGCCTCCATACTGTTTTCCAGAGTGGCTACTCCAGTTTGCATTCCCCTTTCTCTGTATCCTCGCTAATATCTGTTGTTTCCTGTGTTGTTAATTTTAGCCATTTTGACTGGTATGAGGTGATACCTCATTGTAGTTTTGATTTGTATTTCCCTGATGATGAGTGATGTTGAACATCTTTTCATGTGTATATTGGTGATCTGTATGTCTTCTTTAGAAAAATGTCTGTTCAAGTCTTTAACCATTTTTGAAATGGATTATTTGTTTTTTGGGTGTTGAGTTTGATAAGTTCTTTACAGATTTTGGGTACTAACCCTTTATCAGATAGGTCATTTACAAATACCTTCTCCCATTCTGAAGATTGCCTTTTAGTTATGTGGATTGTGTTCTTCACTATTCAGAAGAAGCCTTTTATTTTGATGGAGTCTCAAGAGTTTGCTTTTGTTCCCTTTCACAAGAGACATGTCTAGAAAGAAATTGCTATGACCAATGTCAAAGAGGTTACTGTCTATGTTCTCCTCTAGGATTTTTAGTTCCTGTCTCACGTTTAGGTCTTTCATCCAATTTGAATTTATTTTTGTGTATGATATAACAAAGTGGTCTAGTTTCATTCTTTGGATATTGCTTTTCAGTTTCCCTAACACCATTTGTTGAAGAGAACATTTAAAAAAAACATTTTTTTAAAAAGATTATATTTATTTGAGAGAATGAGCACAAGTCGGGAGAGCAGCAGACATAGGGAGAGGGAGAAGCAGGCTTCTCACTGAGCAGGGAGCTTGATGTGGGGCTCCATCCCAGGACC